AATATAAATATATATAAATACATAAAACATCAGTTAAAAGCATTACTAAAAAGGGGAAGGAGAGTCTAAGAAGATGATATTATCTTATCATCTGGATTTATATTCCATCCTTTGCAGAATTCCTTTTGTTCTCCAGAATTAACAATTGCCTGAATATGTACTCACTTATTCTGCTCCTGAGTTTAATTTTCACAGGTTGTTTTTTTTTAAAAAACTTTTTCCGGTTTCTCTGTCATTGGATACATCTTAAACCAATTTAAAGTGCTACATCTGAATAAACACACTGTAAAAGTGTTTATGTACTGAAGTGGGTCAGTTCAAGGTATGGTATTTGGCTGAGACTTCTACTCTCTCCCTCCACCCGTCCCTGCAAAAAGGCTGCCAGGAAGGAGAATGTCTGAGCTGAATTAATACATTTGTTACAGTGGAAGTAGAATGGAAACTGCTTTAACCGCAAATCAAACTGCCTCTTTCAGTGATGCCAATGATAGAGGTTTTTCTCAAAAATATAAGCCCTGGCAAAGAGCCACTGTACGTTTGCCTTTAAAAAGGGAAGCCTAGTGCTGACTTGAGAAAGGCTTAGTCCTAGGGCTATTAGTAAATTCTCTCTGTAGTGAGAATGAACTCAGGAGCATGACTCACTTGAAAAGGCGGAGGCTTTTTTGTCCAACAGTTTGCAGAATTTCCTTTCTTCGATCCAACAATAGATCAGAAGAATTCTACTGCTAGTTGCTGTCCCCAGAAGAGCTCAGTTCAGCATTTCTTTACTAACACATTACTATTTAAAGGCTGGCCAGCGGTAATGCTTCTCCACGTACAGCTGCATAACTTCACATGGCACTGTCTCGCTTTCTGGCAGAATGAAGGTTCTGCATAATATGGGGAGACACACAACTCTTCAAGACGCCAAAACAAATTTTGTTAAGAGCCTGGGGGTTATTTGTTCGAAGTTCAGATAGATGGAACTTCAACGTCTTGGTTTTGACTTTCCCTTTTCAACTTTTTCTTCTGATACTCCGCACTTCCACCCCCCACCCACACACATGCCCTGGAGGAGAGTCTCTAATCTGACAAAGTGACTATTCAGACTTGACTGGACAAATATAATAAAGAAATATGCGCATCCCTCAGGAGTAAAATCAGAGTCAATCATGTAATATTTCACCCTCTATTATATATTATTCTTGAAAGACTGAAGCCTCAGCTGTACCTGTATGTCAGAGTCCTGACAAAAATTGAGTAATGCCTCAAAATTATTTATGTCTTGAAATATAAATATATACATTGCCTCCATTTCTCATTTCTCCTGGGGATGTTTTGGGCATACAGGATTCTTAATTTATTTTCCCCAGTTTCTAAAAACAGGATGATCTGACCTTTTTGCTCAGCTAACTTCTTTGTTGCCATAATGTGGAACTATAGCAGAGTTATTACACACTTTTGATACTGTAATGCCCACAAAAGAAGCTATTCTATGGACACAAACCTTATCTAGAATGTCATCAGTGTCATCCAACACAAATTAATGGATTTTGTGTCATGGTAGCTAATTTTATATCTCTTTATTTACAGGTCGCAGTATCAATGTAAAAGCAGCTGGTCTTATAGGCAGGCATGGTCCTCAGTCAAAACAACCATTCATGGTTGCGTTCTTTAAAGCAAGTGAAGTCCTTTTTCGATCTGTCCGAGCTGCCAACAATAAGAAGAAAAATCAGAATCGCAGCAAATCCGGCAGCTCACAAAATACTTCAAGAATGTCAAGTGTTGCAGGTAAGGGTGATCAGATGTCCTATTTTATGGAACCCTCTCCTACTGAAGAGGTGGTCAGAGGACATGATTCTGACAGTTGTCATTTCTTCAGGGAAGCTTTACTTCTAGATGGTTAGCTTAGAGTTGGTTTAATTGGCAGTTTAGATTCATATAGTCAAGTGACCATATCTTTGTGGACCAAGTGTAATGGTATGTGAGAAAGTCCTTGAGAAATGGGGCAAAGAGATGCTGCCTAGGGAACAGTCAGTGAAGAGAGAGCATAGCCCGCAGCTGCATAAAGGGCAGAGAAAAAGGTTCAGAGGGGATCCTCCCTAGCTTCTCAGGCTATAAAGGAGATGGTGGGAGATCTGTACTTGCAAGATTCTGTTAGTGTAGCCTTACAATAAAGTAGAATTAGCTTATCTGGTTGTGTTTCCTGTCTGGTCTACCTAGACATCAATCCTGCAAGTCTGAAAGTACAAATCTCCCACAGTCTCCTTTACAGCCTTCTGAGCCTCTTTCTCTGCCCATTATGCAGCTGTGGGCTATGTCCTCTCATATATGACCATTCCCTAGGCAGCATCTCTTCACCCCATTTCTCAAGGTCTTTCTCACATACCATTACACCAAGTTACATTTCAACCCACATTTCCCAACTCATCCTGTAAAACTGAACATATGACAAAAAATTTAAATATTGTATTATGTAACAAATGTTGCCCACATCCTACTTGCATTCTGACCATATTGTTTGTATGTGTTTGCTCTTTAACAGACTGGAAAATTACTTTCCCTTGCAGCAGAAAAAAAAAATTCAGAAGAAATGTAATTTAATTTGAACTCTTCATTGACCTGGGCACCATTGTGCCTGGGTTGTGCTATAGCTGGGGATTCACATGATTGAATATTCCATCCTGAAAACAAATAATTGTTCCAAAAAGAAAGCTAGAATGTCAGGAGAGCTCTGCCATAGCTTTCTCCATGATGGTTTTATTTCTGGGAAATAGGACTTCATTCATCTGCAGGAGAGCATGTCAACACATATTGTACCATTTTACCTGCAACTTGAAATAATATAGCCCCATCCCTAACTCACCTTTCTGGTGAGGCTTTCGCTGCAGAAGTTATTTTTGAAAGAATGTACCTAGGTTGTATCTTCATGCGATGCCTTAAGGCACATGATTTAAGTAAAGTGCATAGACAAATTCTAGCAGCATATCCTACATTTATTCTCAAGTGGCTTGAATACTTTAGGGTCTTGTGGTTGTTTGTGGAAAATTCTAGGCATGAATCAGTAGAAGTTGTGCTTTTAAATCCCACTGATTTATATGGAAGAGATGGAATTATGAGTCACTTTTATAGGTAACAATGTTTAAAGGTCACATGACCCTCCTTCTCCTTCTTTGTATTTATATTCCACCTTTCTGCTAAGAACTAAAAGTGGTAAACATAGAAGAGTCTCCTAATGTTATACGTGCAATCAACAACTCTGTGAGGTGCATTAAGATGAAACACGGTGGCTCACTCAGTAAGCTCCATGTTTGAACATGGATTTCTCCAGTCCAATGAACATTACATTACACTGGGTCTGTATGGATCATCCATTTTGTCTATGCAAAGGAGAAACTCTGTATCCGGTGTTTATTTTCAAAGAAGAGAGCATACACAAGAATATTTAATTTCAAATATCCTGTTTAGATAATGATAATGGCACACATGAGAGGTTATATGAGTGTCATTCTTCTGCTAACATATTTATAAATAAGATAAGAAAAATTATTAGTTCACATAAAATAAGAAAAGGCAACCCTTTTGTTCACATAGACTACGTACAGTGATGGCACCAAGTGATTGGTGGTTGCACACCAGTAGGATCCACACGAACATATTGATCAGCCCTCTCACAAGTAAAACACACACTCATTTCAATCCTATGGAGATGCAAACATCCTTACCATGACTTGTATACTGGCATTGTGGCTAGTTCTGTAGTAGAATATATACTACTATCAGTCCATTAGGAAACATCTGATGAATATGTTCTGATCACACACTCCATCACGCAGTGCACAATCTTCAGCTTCAGTTGTCATAAGAGCATCTCACCGATGAAAATAATTTTGTGTGATGTTTCTGAATCTGTGCAGATCATAGCCATGCCTTCAAGCTGGGGGAGCAAGTTGCTCACAGGTAGGCTCCACTGCTTCAATACCATAAAAATCAACGGGATTTAAACAGATCAGTAGAATTTCACCAGTTTAAGGCTGGAAGCAGACATTATATTAGAAATCCTCTTACGGCTGCTGGCCTATTTCTCTTCTCAGTGATGTCCTGCAGAGGACAATGGGTGACAGTCCCATGCTTCTTCCTGAGTTGCATTGCTGCCAGAATTGGAGCCAAGTTGATTAAATGACAAAAAAATAAAAACAAAAAAAACCCCCAACCATTTCGTCATTGAAAAATGGAGCAAAAATCACATCTGCATTGAAATAATATAATTCAATGTGATTTACTCCCAGTGTGTGTGTATGATTGCAGCCCAACAGTATAATTTAATTCATCATTAAACCTATACATATTCTGTGATGTTATATTCAGACTCAGATGTCTTTTCTTTTCATCCTCTTTTCTCCTGATCTATCTCAAATATTCTTTGCTTGTCTATGGGTATTTTGACAAGTTTCGAATTTGATTTCTTTCTCTTCCCCTCAGAGACTTCCCCCCCCCCTTCTTTCTGCTCCAGAAAGATTTATTTAAAGGGCTGGAGGGCAGTGGCCAACTCTAGTTCCTAAATTATTTGGGTACGAACTTCATTCATCTGTAATGTCCCATGGTTTTGATTCCTAGCAGAATAAGCATATGGATAATTGAAGCCCCAGTCAATGAAATTGGAATATTGGCACCAGATTCTGTAGAGTAAATGTCACCCCAGCCATTTACATGGAAGGTAATATAATGTCCCACACTTCTCTCATCTGGCATGTAGAAATTCAAGGATGGAATATGGACTTGGTTTAGTATTTTTGCATTCAAAATAAGCCTGCGGTCAAATGTAATTCATTTTTCTTGAGATTGGATATTAACCACTTACAGTAGTTCCATGTTAAGTATGCTGGAATCTATACATTTTTTTTCACAGCCAGACAACGTTCATCTGTTTTCAAATTGTGTTTAGCCTTTTTAGGACTGTGGAGAAGTGCAAAGTGATACTTTGGGCCATTCTGGAGACTTTTATTTTTGGGGGGGGGAATGCATGGGGAGACAAGAGTTTTTGAAGGGCTTCTCGGTATGTGTAGAACAATATTTTTCCACTGGTATGAATATTTTTCAGTTTTCCGAAAAGTGACTGGCAGCTGCAGATCCAGCATGTTTTCTCTCCCTCTATCTTCTGTACCAGAGAGGTAGGAATAATCTGAACATTTAGGAAGATGAAAAAGGAAAGGAAGCCACAAAGAAGTGTCACTCAATAGACAGAATGTACAGTGTGTAGAAAGCAACTTTATATTTAATGTATATCACATCACTGAACGTTGACATTCCTTAACAATAATGCAGAGACAAAGGAAGTATTCCATTCTGTCTTATTGATCTAAATTCATCTGATTTAAAAGTAAACTGGAAGCCAAGTCAGACCATGAAATTACTGAAAAATTGCCACCTATTAAATGCTGAAAACCATTTTGCACTCTACGGAGTAACCATATCATTTGCACCAGCTGTACTTATTAGGCATGTGGAATAATCAGGAAAAGGAATGGGTGGGGTTGATGTGGCTTAGGTCATAGATTCAATCAGTTGTTCAAGAGAAACCAAACAGGACAAAACTCTTATGAATCGATTCCAGCATTGAGCATGATGGTACAAAACATCCTTTACACCATGACAATAATATCTTCTGGAAAAAATAGTGAATGTTTAAAACTGGAACAAATAATGTATGTTTAATGAGTGCTTAAAATAAGTAATTGTGCACTGTACTTTTCTTTCTGCAGATTATAACACAAGTGAACAGAAGCAAGCCTGTAGAAAACATGAACTCTACGTGAGCTTTCGAGACCTGGGGTGGCAGGTAGAGACAATGTTCAGTTTTAAGTATCATTCTCCTTCTTCTCATATACATACCTACACTTTGGGTTAGGCAAAGTGCAGAAAAAGGGTAAGAAGGTAAGAAGGAGTAAGAAAAAGAAAGAAAAAGAAAAGGAAATCTAATTACATCTTGTTTACACCATTTATAACAGAATATATGTTATGTACCTCTCCGTATCCTCTGGTTGATGCAAACCATCCGTGCTTCCAACATGCCCATATCCCACTTCATAAATTACCTTTTTGTGCTTGAAACTTCACATTTTTTTCCTTTTTGAAGATCACATCAGCTCCACACAGCCATGACTTTCATGGTCTTCCCCTTCTTTTCAACCCATTCTGTCCTCTGTTATATTTTTGTTGAGCGATTTGATCCTCATTCATTCTCTCTATAGGACCAGATCATTTCAACATGCTTATTTTGTAGTGATCACTCACTTTTGTATTCAATCCATGTTCTTTCCTCACCCCATTCCTCTTTGACCCTATTTCTCCCTGTCTTACCTCACATACTTATATACCCCATTCTTACTACACTCATTCACTTTTATGTTTCTTCTGACAAACCCAGCTCTCACTTCAATATAGAAAAGTCTGGGGGTTATTGTGCGGTTTAGAGGTTGTCATGTTGAATGAGGACAGGAAACTTTATGTTCTTTGGGTGCTGAATCTGCAGAGGAAAAGCAGCAATGGAGAGCCCAAACTGCCCTCTCTGGCCATTGCTTTTCTTTTGAAAATCATACCTTACTCTGCGTTCTGCAGCTGTTCAGTAGCACTTGGCTTTCATAGGCTGAGATCCCTCATCATATTATGCTATTTTGGCTTAGAGCGATAGGTGAGTCCAGCCATTCTGGTTTGTATACTCAAGTTTATGGTTTGAATTATGTGTAAGCCAGACAACTGAAGTTTCGTTAACAAACAATAGTAAACATATATCCTAGCTTACTTAGTGTATGAGGTCAGCTACTGATTCTTAACTGTTGTTGAATATGTATGTTAAAATCAGAACAGATGGAAGTTCCTAGCTGACTTAGGCTGACCTTGAAAAAGCAAAACAGGTTCAGATCGGTTAGTACTTAGAATGGAAACCATCAGAAAATATGAAGACTTTAGGCTAGACTGGAATGTCGAATAAATATCCCAGATGAAGGCAGTGACAAAGTTCTTATGACCTTATTATTGCCAAGAAAACCACATAGACAGATGACTTGAGGGAGTCTTTACCTTTACATATGTCAGATCTTGCGCAGTAGCACATCTGAGGATACAGTGCTGAAAATCATAGCATATGTCTGAATGTATGTGGAATTTCAATTTTCAGGTATCTTTCAGGTGTACACACAAAACTGAGGGATGATTTCACATGGGAAATTTGCATTTAAATATTTTATTTCTATTTTTTAGGATTGGATTATAGCTCCAGAGGGTTATGCTGCATTTTATTGTGATGGAGAATGTTCATTCCCTCTCAATGCTCACATGAATGCCACAAATCATGCCATAGTACAGACTCTGGTATGTTTACATTATATATATATATATATATAAAATCTATTTATCTATCTATCGATCAGTCAATCAAAGAGATTCAGTGGAGCTTCATTTAAATGAACTCAGTTATGAGGAGATACAGCATCCTAGACATACAGTGAGAGGAACATTTTAAATATCTATTTGGTCCTATTTTTTAAATGTCTTTTCCTTCCATAGGAGCTTTAAAGAAAAAAAATATTTAGAAATATTGTATGCTGTGCTAACATTTCATTTCAAGCACAAACCAAGTGCTATATTGTATTTCCAAAGGAACACCTGTAAGCAGTGATGCACTGATATTAGGATTTTACAAATTGTGTTTTTATTCGTCCCAATACTTTCTATTTTTCCTTGGTTTTCCTATAATATTTTTAGGGTTAAACTATCTCAAATCTCTATTTTTTTTTTATGTTGCTTAGTCTTTGGACAGATGCTCCCTTTAAATATGAAAAATGCATTATTGCTATTTCTCCTCCTCCTACCCTGAATCAATCCACTGCAGGATAAAGTCCTCTTCACTGAAAGCTATGGACTGGTCCAGTGTGGGTTGGTAGACAGATGGTTTTGTTTTGTTTTTTTTACTTTCTAATCTAGGGCTATGAGAGAATGACTGGTTCAAAGTCAGCTTTTATGCCTAAAGGAAGACTAGAACCTGGTCTCCCTACTACTAGTCCAGCACCTTAACTACTACAGCACACTGTCTTTTTCTCTCCATACACACAACACACACACACAAACACAAACAGTATACACAAAAACCCATACAGTGGGGCAAAAAAGTATTTAGTCAGCCACCACTTGTGCAAGTTCTCCCACTTAAAAAGATGAGTGAGGCCTGTAATTTTCATCATAGGTATACCTCAACTATGAGAGACAAAATGGGAAAAAAAATCCAGAAAATCACATTGTCTGATTTTTAAAGAATTTATTTGCAAATCATGGTGGAAAACTCTCTGCAGGTCATTCACTAGGTCCCCCCGTGTGGTTCTGGGATTTTTGCTCACCGTTCTTGTGATCATTTTGACCCCACGGGGTGAGATCTTGCATGGAGCCCCAGATCGAGGGAGATTATCAGTGGTCTTGTATGTCTTCCATTTTCTAATTATTTTAGAATTTTAAGTTCTCCCACTTAAAAAGATGAGTGAGGCCTGTAATTTTCATCATAGGTATACCTCAACTATGAGAGACAAAATGGGAAAAAAAATCCAGAAAATCACATTGTCTGATTTTTAAAGAATTTATTTGCAAATCATGGTGGAAAACTCTCTGCAGGTCATTCACTAGGTCCCCCCGTGTGGTTCTGGGATTTTTGCTCACCGTTCTTGTGATCATTTTGACCCCACGGGGTGAGATCTTGCATGGAGCCCCAGATCGAGGGAGATTATCAGTGGTCTTGTATGTCTTCCATTTTCTAATTATTTTAGAATTTTAAGTTCTCCCACTTAAAAAGATGAGTGAGGCCTGTAATTTTCATCATAGGTATACCTCAACTATGAGAGACAAAATGGGAAAAAAAATCCAGAAAATCACATTGTCGATTTGCAAATAAAATCAGACATTTTGTCTCTCATAGTTGAGGTATACCTATGATGAAAATTACAGGCCTCTCTCATCTTTTTAAGTGGGAGAACTTAAAATTCTAAAATAATTAGAAAATGGAAGACATACAAGACCACTGATAATCTCCCTTGATCTGGGGCTCCATGCAAGATCTCCCCCCATGGGGTCAAAATGATCACAAGAACGGTGAGCAAAAATCCCAGAACCTGCACAATTGGTGGCTGACTAAATACTTTTTTGCCCCACTGTGCCTCTGTGTTGCATTTATAGGTGCACATATGTACATATATGTGTATATAGATATATACCCTAACACCAACAATCTTTTTATTCTGCTTGGAATTATTCAAAGCATGCCTCTGGGGGCAATGTAATTTGAAAAACAAATTACTCATATGTTAAAGTATGATTCAGAAATCATCCAGGTCTTTATATGATGATCTAACTACTCTGAAAAGGTCAAACCTTTGATTTCAATTTACTTAGTCCAAGAAATAATCATACTAGATTCACTGATTACAACGCTTTTCTTCTATCATGCCTGAGAGTTGGTCTCAAAGACCCCAGGTATGTTGAGAATGCAAATAAACATATTTCCAGTGCATGAAATGTCACTGTAAAACAATAACTGAAAGGTCGTTCTGATAAGCAGTATGTCCAAACATTAAAATCTTCCAGGCTTTTATTTTGAATTTTTCCATTCTTTACATTACAAAAGTCCCCCCCACCCCCCAGATTTAAATATAGTGCTGTCTGGGTGTTCCTTGAATTACAGTGTTGGATGAATTCCCATTGGTTGATTCAAAATGGAGTCAGCAACTGTAAATGTCACCGGATAACTTTTTTGACAGAGATAACATTCTTCATATGTTTTATAATTGTTTTTGTCATTTATTTTAAATATTACTATCCATTATGCAAGTTCCAAAGCAGAACACAATCCCAGTATGTAAATTGGCGAATCTCAATTCATTCTTAGTTAGGTATACCTCAGGCTCCTTTATCACAAGATTAGCAGTAAAATGAATAGGGCTGAAAATGGATTTACCCCCAGATGCTGATTATAGTAGTCAAATAAAACTATATGCTTGTTTATTTATTTAGAACACTTACGGGCTGCCGGTTCTCCTGAGTATTTTAGATAACTCATAATCATGAGATAGTAGTAATCAAAACATATTTAATGAGGAAATTAGAATTTTTAAATATTTTAGGATTTCTGAATGGGTTACCCATCCTATCAAATCACCACTCTTACTGTTAAAATAGGATTTATAACAACTGACTTTCCAGATTTTGGGGGAATACAGTATAGTTGGAGAGTGGTGGTCGTGGTGATTTATACATCTACTGTGCTCCAGCTACATTACTGGTTGAAAGTACAGTTTCTCCAATATTTTACACCTATTTTTAAAAGTCTGTTTGTAAAGTTTATTTTAAAGTCTATTTTAAAAGTTTCTTCTTTAATTTGTACTACAAAAACAAAAGCAAAAATAGAATTAATGACATTAATTTAAAATGTAATAAAGGGTTACACACTTTAAAGATTGAGCCATTTTTGTGCTTTCTTTATTCAATAAAACAGAGAAAAAGAATAAAACAATAACAAAAGGGAAAAAAACATAATACAACAACTAAAATTATATACATGGGTTTCTCATTCACACACACACATATATATACACAAACAAATGTTGCAATCGGTTTCAATAAAAGATGACCTCATGTCCACACATAATCTGTGTCTATAGGTAACTTGTTCTTAAGTTGCAGCTGACATCATATCTTCAATCTCCTGAGTAATTGGCTCCAAAAATTGGGGCCTTGTTTCACAGCCCTTGGTTGCAAGTTCAGATGATTTTAAATTAATTCCAACTTTAAAAGAGATGACCTTCATGAGACAAGGGAAGCTTTAGGGCAAATACTGTGTAGGTATATGTTGATATGAATAACTCACACCAGGTTCCCAATCCCTCTTCAGATCTACCCAGGCTTTGCCTTGAAGGCAGCATCCTCCTCCTTTCTAAGGAAAACCTTTGCCATGACCTTTCTTCTTTTGCCATTAATTGCTTAAAAGAGATGTTCACTCAGTCCAGGCAAATTCCAGCAAACAAGCAATATTGGGAGAGACGGTTAAATCGATCCTAGAACGGAATGCCAAGAGCAGTTGCCATCCTTTATACTAATATATTGTCTCACTTTCCAAATATATCATGAGGTATTCACAAGCAGGACACTGAGTGTAAATGCAGCCAGTACCTTTCAGAAAGAAGAAACTGAGGGAGCTTGGTTGTCAACTTTTCTCCAAGTGGCATCCTCTAGCTTTGTGGGATTACAGCTCCCATAATTCCCAGTCAGTGCACAACCACACCTATTGAATCTTATGGCAAGGTAGTCCACTATATTGTAGCTGAGGATATCTGGTTAGGAAAAGCAGGGATTTCCTCTGATTGTGTAGGCATTACTGTTTATTGCAGAAAGATTTGCGTAGCCCAGCTGTTTCCAGCAAGATTTACAGGTCTTCCGATATACAAGTTAATTGATCACAATCTGAGAGATTTATTTATTTAGTATATTTATATAGTTTTATTTGACTATATATTATGCATATATATAAATATTATTAATCAATATATATGTGTGTGTGTGTATACATCTATATCTATATCTATATCTATATCTATATCTATATCTATATCTATATCTATAT